GTCGAACGAATGAGCAGGACCTTGTTGAATACTACCAGATGTCTTCTATTTCAGGCAAGCTTATCACCCAAGTTTTGGGCGGAAACAGTTAACACCGCAAATTACCTGCGTAATCGTCTTCCATCTAAGAGCCTGAATGCAAAAACTCCCGAGCTACTAACCGAATCAGCACCAAACGTATCGCAGATCGACGTATCTTTGGAAGGTAAACTTCTGGGAACGCGAACCCGGCAGAGACAAGTTCGACTAACGAGGTGCAGAAGGAAATTTTTTGGGCTACGATGATGAATCAAAAGGCTTCAAAGTATGCTCGCTGGACAAGAACAAGGTATTAGTAACCCGCGATGTCAAGTTCCTAGAAAACGAGGAATTTCTTGCAATCTGTGAGTGAGGATATCGATCAGGAGAAGACATTCGTTGAGCTTCATTGCATTTTCCCCAGCACTGACGACTAGCCTGATCCGGTGCACGAAGAACCAGAAGCTGTCCACGGTGACCAACCTGAACTTCACGAATTGGATGAGTTTCGGCTGAATTCCCCGGTTCAGCCGTTACACGGTTTTGACGTCACGCCAATCACAGTCACCCCTGGTATACTCGAAATACCACCCTAAGCTTCAATGCAAGTTGGTCGACATCCTGAGCACAGGTCGCAGGGGAAGACCTCGAAAGTTGTTCCAGACGAAGGACTGCGACTACCCCGCAAGACGAAGGTGGGCAGCACACATTCCTCTCCGAGATTCCTTTCGAGAAGGCGAAGGACCCAACTCAAGCGACTGACACGAAGCGATTGTAACTAAGATTAAATCGATCTTGACGAATAATACGCGGGTTTTGGTGGATCCACCAGGTGATGCCAGAGTAATTGGATGCCGCATGGTGTTATTGAACCCGGATGGAATCCTGGAAAGGAGAAAGGTCAGACTAGTTGCTCAAGGTTTTTCCCAAGTGTATGGAGTTCATTAGTCAGACACCTTCGCACCTGTTGCTCGGGTGGGGTCAATCGGACTGATCGTTAAAATTTGTTGCGTCTATACACGAACGCATTTCGCTAGCTCCTAGGAGAGTTGAGTGCAACGTGGAGTAGTCCTCCATTAATTGCTGTAGGAGTAATCCCCCCTAGGGTCCACTGGGTAGTCAAGTCACGTCAGTCAGGGAAGAGCACGTTAAGTCAGGGAATCGCCGACAGGGAGCGTCTTCGCGCTCGCGTCTCGCACGCGCCCTGCGTCATCTACCTATCGGCCAGAATTGGGAAGGAATAAGGATAGGGGTAAGGCTTAGGACGCTTCACCTTCCGCTTAGATCGCCCAAGAACCGACAACATATTGAAGATAAAAGACATGCTCAGTGAACTTTCAGATGGGCGAAAAAGTCTGTTTACTTAAATTATTGTATGGCTTGAAGCAGGCAGGAGGGAGTTGTCACATGAAGCCGAGTGAGCCCTTGAGGGACTTCGGAGATAAGACCACAGCATCAGACCCTTGTTCCAGATGGGTTCAGGGGAAGATGTGACCTTGATAGCTGTCTATGTCGATGACATCTGGGGGTCGCCTCCAGAAATCATAAGACAATCTCTTAACTTCGACAGGTCTTTGGCAAGCATTCTGAGTTCAAAGACTTGGGACCAGCGAAATACTTCCTGGGAAATGAGCTTTTTCAAGATGAGGGTCTATTTGCTATGCATCAGCGAGGTTGCGTGGAAGCACTTCTTCAACGTTTCGGAACGAGTAACTGCAATCCCTCAGTCACTCCTTTGGATCCTGGTAGCAAGATGACCTGAACAAGAACTCAAGCAAAGAAGAGTAGTGCTTTCCACATCGTGAACTGGTGGGTGCGCTTACGACTACAACTCGCCCAGATATATCTTTCGGAGCATCTTATGTAGAGTAGAGTGCTACGCTACTTGAAGGGCACGATTGATGTTGGATTTGTTGACGAAGATGACGGCGAACCGCTCGCTGGGTTCGTTGATGCAGACTGGGGCGGCTGCCAGATGAACAGGTCTTACACCGGCTATGCGTTCTGGCTAGATGGATGCCTCATGTATTGGAAATCTCGCAAGCAAAGGACAGTGACCTTGAGTACAACAGAGGCAGAGTATGTCAGACTGTGCCAGAGAAGCAGAATATCTGCAGAAATTCCTACAAGAGTTAGGTTTTGAAGATTTGACTATTTTATCTATTTTCCGTGTCAATCAGAGTGCAATCTATTCAGCCAATAATTCTATGTTCCATAGCAGAATAAAGCATATTGATTTACGGCATCATTTTTTTCGTGATATGTTATAGAGAAAAACAATTGATTTCATGGCAAAATGTTTAAGTAGGGTAAAACAGATACTTTGTATGAGAGAGACTGGTCTACAGCGAATACAAGTGATGTGAATCTTTACTTAAGGGGAAGTGTTACAAATTTCGTTCTTCTGAACTACATATGTTGTGTTGAATATTTAGTTCAAGGGCTCGTTATAATATAATGTAGTTCAGAACAACGAAATTCCTAACTTTTTATGCCCTTTGTCAGCATTCGACCCATGCGGCACTTCTGTGGCAAAGTTCGAATGGAGAAATAATTTGCTGCTTGAAAACACTTTTGCTGGTTTATGGAATAGTATAATGTTGCAGAGCATTCAGAATGCGAGAAAGTATGTACTTTGGCAGCAACACTAGTTAGTAAATATAATTCCCATTATTCATTAACTCTTCACTACATCTGAAGGTATCGTGAAGATACTTTTCCCAATTTGTGGGAAAAAAGTTTCATAATACCAATTCATAAATCCAATGATAGAGAATATATTAAAAAGTATTGATCAATATCTACATTAAACCCTATTCCAAAACTTTTGAAGCTATAATTACAGAAAAAATAATATCTCATTTGAATATCTTAATGATAGAAGAATAGCTTGGATTCAGAAGAAAAAGACCTACCACCACTAACCAATTAATCTTCTAACAATTTGTTTTGGAAAACTTAGAATGCAATATTCACTAACCAATTAATCTTCTAACAATTTGTTTTGGAAAACTTAGAATGCAATATTCACGTCATCATGGTCAATACAGATTTTTCAAAAGCCTTTAGCTCAGTTAATAACATCTTGATTTTGCAAACACTGTATCAAATTGTTATTCATGGACCTTTTTTGAGAAGGATTGAAAATTACTTTAAGAATAGAATACAAAATGTGAAATATACAGTTTTTATATCAAGAGACATTATAATAACATCGGGTGTTCCCCAAGGATCGCACTTTGGGCCATTGATTTATTTACTACACATAAACAACATGAAGTCCAGGTTTCGATCTATTAACTTTTTACTCTTTGCTGACGACTTGAAATTAAATCTTCATATAAAATTGATTGATGAATGTAAAACTATGCAGTAAAATCTTGACCTCCTGTCAATATGGCATTGTTAAAATTAGTTACACTTAAACATAAAAAAATGAAAAATCATTAGGTGCCATCGCAAAAGGAATCCAATTATCTATGACCATTTGTTAGATGGGCATAATTAGAATCAGAATCTAAATTTAAAGAACAAGAAATCACATTTGATCCTAAATTGAAATTTGATCACGTTCAATATATTTCTGTAAACACTAATAAAATGTAAGGATTTATAAGAAGAATGACCACAGACTTCTCAAATACACAAACTTTGAAAACATTACATTTAACATTTCTTAGCAATCTCTATTTGGCAAGATCTGTCTGGTCATCTTTCTATCAAATCCACATTAAAAAAATAAAAACAACACAGCATAAATGTTTCACTTATCTGGAATGAAAATTGTATTAGCTTCACCAAAATTATACATGACTATAAACAAATAGCAACAACCTTAAGTAAACTTAGTTTACTTTCGTTTCAATGAAACTTTGATGACTAAGTTTGTGTTTTTGACTTTTAAACAATGATCTCAAATGTGAAGTATTACTAACAAGGATTAACAATCCAGTTCTGTCAAAGCTTGAGAAGATCTAATTAAATGTTATTTGCAACTTTCACCGAGAACCCCCCCCCCCCCATCCTCCTAAATTTAAATCATACAGCTAAGCAATCACCTCTAATATAGCTTTCTCACTTTCTAAATAGCAATTTATTCTCCAGTAAACATGAACATTTTTTTAAAGATTTCAATTAATATATTTAAACAATGAAAAACTGCATAGACTATTTGCTGTACTGTATAGGGCAATTGCTTGTTTTCAACAATAAATAAAAAATGTTTCAGGTCTACATCTCGGGTTTTAAAACTATTACGTGAAAAAAGTTTAGGCAGTGATAGGTAGCTGCTGGGAAGAGGGTGGGGCAAAACCAAAAAGCTAGTCCACACCAAAGAAATTACAAAACTAATGAGTGTGGGGAAGCCGGTCTATTCGGTAGCACTACTAGTTGTAGGAGTATTTTGCTCTATTCACACAAATAACTAAAGAATAAAATGTTAGAGCAATTTTTGAGAAAATTCTGCCAATGTCTATGAGCTTCATGAGGAGTTCCCTCATAAAATAAAAGATACATTTCAAATTTGATGATCTGTGACATAGGCCAGATCGTTCAGGTAATATCAATTTTGGATAAAATCATGATTTAGTTGCCAGTATTGTTCACAAGCAGATGGGAGTTTTGAGAAAACTATCTTTTTATGCTTCAAGAAATTCCAAAACAAGAATTTTGGCACCGCTATCTAGGCAAGAAAGTAATATTCTTTATAAAGGGGCAGGAAAAGTTCACTTTTTTTTTTTCTATAGCAGAAACCCACAACCCCCAATTCTCAAAAAACCAGCATGTTTTTTCTACAGCATTACAATATATTCTTTACATGGACTACTTATACTGAGCAAGTAAAAAATAAGAATAAAAAAGTAAGAAGTGAATTAAAATTAAAAGAATCTCAATAGAATTTTGAATCTGGTAAGCAAATCATGCAAACAAATTGAGAAAAAACAACTGTGGAAAGGATAAGACAAAAATTTAAGCAAACATACCATTCTGGGTGAGTTTAGTAGAACATACATTAGTCTGAATGACAAATGTGTCTTTACTACTCAGATGCAAACCATTTTGATTAATTTTCTGTCCATCTGATATGTCATGTCGAACAGATGGCAATTTTAAGTAATTCATGTCTGTGTCATCAAATTTTTTTTGATCAATCTATAATAAAACATAGTATAAGTAAAGTCCTTCACTGTGTTTCAAATTAGCTTTACTTTTACAATTCAATACAATACCTTGTAAACAAGTAAATTATGTTGTGTGTCTCTGAGAGTTGTTCCGTCTTCTTGCATTAACTTCACATAAGACATCGCAAAAGGCTTCTCTGTCTTGTCTTTGGTCTCATTGGAAGAACGATGTTTAAATGTGAATTTTAAATGACTGGCTTTAAATTCTTCTATAGGTACAGCAACTTTAAAAATTTCATACCATCGAGGTTTATCTTCATGATAATATATAACAGAACGATATTCACTCAGAGTTTCCATGCCACCACCAAGGGTAATAACATCCTTGAACAATAAAAGGTGACTAGACAAAGAACTGAAGATTACGTATTATTATATATCAACATTTACTACTGGTATATAAATGAAAACACCCCCACTTACATAATCCATTAATTGAGTAAATACAACAATATAAATACATAAAGAATAATTAGATAAAAAAGATACTGCATATCAATCTTTGTGTTTGACATCTCTTCTCAGGAAAGGCTGTGTCGACAAGTATTTCCACCTTTGCAGTGTACTTGTTACAAATGCTTCATCAAACCACATAAACTGGGGAATATTCCTTTTGGAAAAAATCCTATCAATAGTTAAGATGCTAGTGTTGTTCACAGATAGATGGATGGAAGTTTTGAAGGAAAAAAACAACCCTTTTTTGATATCAAGGACTAACAATTTTTGAAATCAGACTAAATAATGTGTTAGAGGGAATAATTTGCTACATAAAACAGGATTTATCCACTTTCTCTGTGTCAGGGCCCTACAATATGAGTTTTTCCACTGAAAAATCACAGTTTGTTGCTGCAGCATCACATATCTTTCTCTTTATTACATAAATTACTTCGTATATATGAATGTACACAAGAAAATAAAATGCAATTGTGCAATTTGCATGTATTGTTAAAGTACACATCCTGAACCCGAAGAAAGGCCCAATATGGGTTGAAATGGTCACATTGGAAAAAATGAACTAATTTGCTTCATAAATATAACAGATATACCAGTTCTCGAAAACCATATTATAAAAGGAATAATCAATGAGAATCTATTCCGTTGAAAATTATAGTGTTGAAACTGTTGAAAATATTCAGCTTACCGATAGAACTTGTCCAGTTTCAGTGCAAACTCGCACAGTAACTTCAACATTTTTATCAGCGGTTTTGTTCCCTTTGGAAAATTCACCATTAACCAATGTTAAATATAAATCATTACGAACATCTCCAGGCAATATAACTTCTGGGAAACCCATTTTGCGAGCAATAGCCACATTCCCAAGAACTAAATGAGGATATTCTTCACGTGCCTGTCAGCATACAATAAAATTCAATATTAAAAAACAGGAGTAATATTGTTTAAAAAATAAGTGAATTTAATGTTATTTTGCAACATCACCTGTTTTAAATCTCCATGAAGTAATCTCAAACTGATCCACAACCCTTGGCCTTTGTGTTCACGCTGGGTCAAATCCTTTACAGTCAAAATACGTCTCAATGTACCATCTAAATTGTCACGATCACAGCATCTAAAAGAAATGAGAAACACAAAATTAGTGCCCTGCAACAGAAACTTTTGTTTTCTTTTAATACATTGAATATAATTTTTTAAACAGATGAATTTGAAAGCAGGAATGATTTTCTCACAAAACTTCCTTACAACAGTCAGCCATTATACTTGAATCATGATCAGATAAAGATTTTAAAGAGATCTAAATTTCAAAAGTGACAGAAATTGTTCTGAAGGATTTTCAAATTTTCTTTTTTCATTTTGCAATAGATCATATTGTAGATTTGGTTAATTAATTGCCTGCAAGCTTGTAGTTTAACATTCAATTAAATATGGAGATAAAAAAATATGGAGATATGAATTTTTACTGATAAGACAAACTATTGACACATGTCTTTTTCTAGTGAATATAATCGTTAGGCCTTTACACTTCTTGGCGAACTATTCAAAGAAGCAGATTTTGGTTATCAATGAATGTTTGGAAAAAGCCAATAGCTTAAATATTGCACACATTATTTACAAATCATTGAAGTTAATGGGTTCTTAAAATTCAAAATGATGTGGTCGTTTTTTAACTGATGCAGCTCTGCGTATGAAAAAAAGCAACAAAAGCTTCAAAAGTTATGAATTTCAAGCATTGTTCATTTATTCAAAAGTATTGTTCCCTGCCTCTTCTACGCGTCTTGAAAAGGGGACCATGATAAAAAAATTTAAGATTGTTTTCCCCAAAATTCTGATTAATTAAAACTGAAATATATTTTGAAAATTCTAGAGGGTGACAATTTAGATGCTGCACAAAGGGATCCTTCTGACCTATTGTGTTAAACTTGCTCCAGTAACGTCCTTCAACAAAGATTTTTCTTCCAACTGAAGGCACACATTAATCACAGAAAATTTAAGAAAACACTGTTGTTTTAGGTAACCACAAATATTTGGAAAATCACATATAAGGTCCTAAAATTTGTTTCTAACAAAGTGTTTGTGTTTGTGAAGCATCTATTCTACATAAATGTATAAAATTGTAATAGGAGTGGATTTTAATTCGCCTCCATCTCATTTAGCAGTTTAAGTACCTTTTTGGCTATCCTTTTTTATTTATATTTATAGTGTGTTAAGCCCTAATCTCCAACAACTAATTTTGAAGATCAGATGTCAGAAGCAATTCCCCAGTTCAATGTCATAAAAATCGTGAAATCAACAATCCCCTCCAAATTAATAATAATAAGCGGAGAGAGAAAGAGAGAGAGAGAGAAAGAGAGAGAGAGAGAAAGCGAGAGAGAAAGAAAGATAAAAACAAAAAAAGTGAAATAGAAAGAAAAAGAAGGAGAAGGAAGAAAGAGAGAGGAAAAGAAAAAGAAATAAAGGAAGAGAGAAGGAAAGAAAGAAACGAAGAGAGAAGGAAGGAAAGGAAGAAAGAGAAATATTGAAGGATTCAATGATTACAACCAAGAAAGAACTAGTCCCAAAAATAACCAGTACTTGGCAGAACACAACATTATCAGAGAATGGCATTAGTTAAGAAAGCAAACAAGCCACAGCGCATAAAACCTTTTTTCTCCATTCTGTTGATGTGAGAACTATTTCTTCTGATTATCTCTGTCCTACAATTTTTTTTCTTGAGTATTTGCCAGTTATCTATACATTTTTGCTGGTTTATCAAGGTGGTTCCCACAAGATGTCATTTGCACATCTCTGTGGGGCTTCTAATCTTTGATCTCTACTTGGGTTTCATTGTAGAAGAATCTTCCTCGGAATGTGCTAGTATTGAGAGTCGGATTTCTGTACTATTTTGTGATATGAATGAATAAAAAAATAATAATAAATAAATAAACAAGGCGCTACTGTGTTCACTGACTGGACTCCCGCGGCAATGTTTCGTTGCATTAGAGCATGACTGTGTTCATTCGTGGTAACCAGTTTGCTCTCTTCCTGCATGCCAACTCTCTGGATACCAAAATTATTTCAAACTGTAACATACTGAAGTAATTATTAATGCAAAATGAGAAAAAAATATTTGTAGAGATTTTTTTTGTATATTAGTTCACATTCATATTATCTGCAAACAGATTTCTTCTAAACTTTCTATCCCACATACCCTTCAGAAAGAAGATGGGGAAATTGCTTCAGATCCTAGTGATGTCGCTGAGGTTTTCAAAACATCTACACATTGGAACCAAACTATATCCTCACCTCTTTCTGAGGAAACATTGGAAGACATTGACTTACATGTTGCAGATGTTTACAATGTCCTTGTATTGCTAGATCCTAGCTCTTCTGCTGATTCAGATGGTACCCCACCCCTTGTACTGAAAGAATGTGCACAAGAACTTGCTCCAGCTCTATGTAAAATCTTCTGAGACTCCTTGACTCTGGAGTATTGCCGATGGACTGGAAAATATTACACCAGTTTTCAAGAAAGGTAGTAAGCTAGATCCTGCTAACTACAGGCCCATTAGCTTGACCAGCTTGATATGCAAGGTCTTTGAATGGAATCTGTCAGACATGATACTTGAGGATTTCACTCTGAGAACTGGTCGCATACCACCGCACCAACTGGCTTCATACCATGGAGATCTATAACTACAAACCTACTATCTTCACTGCAAGACTGGTCAATGGACCTAGATAATGGCAACTCTACAGATATCATCTACTCGAACTTCTCCAAAGGTTTCAACAAGGTACCACACCTAAGGTTGCTTCACACACTTGCTCACTTTGGCATTGGATGTCTTTCCTTGAGGATCACCATTTTTGCATGAGAATTGGAGAAAATCAGTCATCACTGAAGAGAATCCACAGTGGAGTTCCTCAGAGCTCGGTATTAGGACTGATCTTATTCATCCTGTATATTAGTATCTGCCGCACAGTATGCTCTTCCACTTCAAGAGAAATGCATATAACACCAAATTCTATGCTAACCCTCTGGTGAACCATCACCACCTTGAAGACGACTGAATAGTGTTTATAAGTGGTCAAGACTTTGAATGTCCCCCCTGAATGAAACAAAATGTATTATCATGCATATTGGAATATCCAACCCAAAGCGAAATTACCAAGTAGGTGGAAGAAACTTGTCTGAAATGACGGTCATGAGGGATCTACGGATTATGATCTTAAACGACCTCAAAGGGAAAAACCACATAAGTTGCATCGCAAAAAAGGCTAACAAGGCTATATTTATACTGCATAATGCCACACAATAAGAATTGATGTATATGACATTATCTCTAGTGTCGTAAAATGGAAACCTCCTTAAACTGCAATTCTTTTGTGTACAAACGATTCTGGCTTGTACACATTTTACTGTATTACCTTAAATAAATAATTTTAAATAAATATCAAATAAAGTTATAAAAGTCCTCCAGCTTACACCTCCTGCTAAACCAAACCATACACCCCTTCTCATAACTGTCCAACTGTCATTCTTGTTCAACCCACACACAGTACAGGGAATGTTTTTACATCTGATTATACCTATATTAACATCTCTCCCAGTATCTTGTTCCCCTTCCTTCACCATCCCATTTGACTCTTGACTTCTGCAAGGTCTTCCAAATGTATATAAAATGATACAATCTAAATAGTTGAACTTGGAAACTTGTTCTGCAATTTGCAGTTTTTAACACTACTGTTCTTAAGACGAAGAGTGAAGTATTTAAGTTTTAATTTTTTAAGAGCCACCCAATAGTAAATATCCTCCACTCTGTGCCCCCTGGAGGCCTGCCTATTGCTAATCTGCTCACCCATCATTTGCAGTGAGTGTCCAACTCATTGACCTGTAAAAAAAGCTCTTCTGCAAATGTACTTACTGTAAAAACGGGATAAAATGTTGTTTATCTTCATCACTTTCAAATCTTCCATTAATATATAAAGTAATGTCCATTGCTGCAACTCCAAAAGGTCTCCGCATTGCATCACCAGGAGGCTTTTTCGGAATATGTGAACTTCTTCTATGATCAATATCTCGAACTTCCATTGCACCCACTCTCACAACATAACACACAAGATATACTTTCTCTCTACTTAAATCTCTACTGCCAAGATCCTGAAATATAAATTATTTTTGTTATGAAGAAATATATTATTACATAAAAATGTTTGAATCACTAAATGTTCAGCTTTTAAAAATACAATTAGGCTTCTTGATTAATCTTAAAGAATTTATACTCAAAGTTTTGAAAAAATTCACAAATACAACAAAAATGGAGTCATTAATTAGCAATGAATATTTTTAAAAATTCATTGAATAAAACAAAATACATAAATCAATACATTAATTCCACTTAATACAAATACTTACCGTGAAAAGAACTCTGAGATTATGCAGTTGGTCAATATCACGCAACAGACCCTCTTTCGTCCATCGCACTACATAGTTTTCAGTGAATGCTCTATTTTCTTTTGTGTCAAAAAGGGTCATTAACAATTCAGCATCTTCATTCATTTTGCATACAAAGTTCCGCACAGATACATAAAATATGTGCGAATAGTGTGTAACAGTTTTTGGTGGTCTTTCTGATGCACTGGACTGAAAAATTAATTTATTTCATTACTTACAATGTAGCAGCATACCCAAGACATAAATCATATGATACGTCACTATATCAAAGTGATTGAGCATCTTCAAAAGAAGTTTTCCATTTATAAAAACCACAGAGGCCATTAACTCAAATTTTCAAGAACACTTCCTATTCATCACAACAGATCATAAATTGAAGAAAATAATACCCTAAAAATGGAATTATAGACTGTTTTTTAATGTTACCAACTAAGGCTGGTACGATGTAAATCATTTTTTTTTTAAATCAATGATTTAAATCAATATTTATTATTTGTAATAGTTGTAAATAGAATTGTATTTTAATTATTTGTGAAATAAAAATTACTCAGAAAAAAATATTTAAATCAATTACAAAGTTCCTGTTAAATGTATAATATAGTTCTTTTAAACTTTTTCAAATAGTTGAACTACTTCGAGAATATTAAATACAACATAATACACTATAAAATGAACAAAGTTATAAAACAAAGAACGAACAAACAATTTGTTTATGTACTAATGACTTGAACATAGAGGATTGATTCTTTTTCTCAGCATTTCATTGTCTGAGTAAAAAAAACTAATTTAGCAGCAATACCGCCCTCACACATATTGAGCTAGTTTAGAGAAAAACACTGTTTTATAGCTTGAATTGTGTCCACAATACTAAATTTGTATTCAAATGTTTGCTAAAGCCAATTGAATATAATGAGTGATAATATAAATGGAATATTATTAATACTCTTTCACAGAACAAAATTAATATTGTTAAAACAGTAGTTAATCTTATTAGTTTTAATAATATTAACCTTTTTCTTTACATGTATATTGAGTTAATTCCATTTTAATTGAACAGTATACTTCCCACTGACCGTTAAAGGGTTAATGAGAAAGTGTGCAAGTAACAACCATTATACCCCGCATTTTTTGATAGCATGACAACTAACAAGTAGAATTTTAAATTTCAAACTAATTTTTTTATGTTTTTTGATGAATTCAGTTGTGTTAAAAAGTGCTTTGGATTAAGGCTGTATTGCACAAAAATAAGGTAAAATTTCTTTGAAGAAGGAATGCCTTTTTTCTAAATCATGCTAATAGATTAATTAATAAGCTTATAATAAGCTTATTCGTATTGTGGATGCCAGAGAAGGTTTTCAAGAGCACAAAACTAAGTAAATCAAATTTAAACATTTTGAGGGTTAGGGCAGCATAGCACTGGACCCCACAAATATATAGCATCTTTATTTTTAAAATAAAATTACAACAATTAAATGTTAAATTTAAAAACCAAAGTTTTAATAAAGTTTTTTCTGCTTTTAAAGTTATTAAGTATAATTAAAGCACTTAACAATTTTGGTTTAAAGTAAAAAATCGAATACAATTTTAAAAAAGTATATTTTAACTCAAATAAATCCAATTTAAATAAAAAAAAAATCATAATTTTTTTCCAACCCCTTTACCTATAATAATGGAACAATAGCTTCTTTGGAAAAGAAAGAAAAAAAGTGGGACAGAACAAATCACGGAACTGTAATTTGGGGCCTGGTGGGTTTTAAAAATGTTTATTTCTGTACAAGCCGTTAACAGAGGTGATACACAAAAGATGGTGATAAGAAAGTTTATATTTTATATCATTTGAAAATAAAACTGATCAGAATCGTCTAATACAAAATGCAAAATGAATAGTAACTATCCTTTTGCATCTACAAGTTATATGTCCTGATCATTTTCATCAATATTCTTCCCACTATTGTCCCCTCTCTTCTCCATCCAAGCTCTCTTATCCTAAAAGTTATTTTTAGTCGATGCAATGTTTCTTGTTAACTGTTCATTCATTTCCCACCTAAGTGTCTCTTAAGATTGGTTGAGATGGCTTAGAGATCACCTCCCCTGGTGCTGCAGTGTCTGATCGGGAGGTCCTACGCATAAAGTCCTGGCAAATGGAGGATTTTTGACACGAGCTACAAAGCTAGGCCAAATCCAGTCAGTTGCTCTGATCAGTACTTTTCCATTATTTCTCTGGCCAATACCATGTGAATACTGTTGGGTCATGGACTGCATGCAATCTTCCCTTTCTCATCGTTCTTTCCTTCTCTACCCTCACACACTTACACTTGCTTGTATTGCACTATCGCACATCTGGGTAGCTTAGAGCTTGTTTCAATTGGGGAAGAGCACCTCTGAGGGAGATACTTGGAAGGGAAATACAACAAGCCAACGTGTAGGTTGGCGTGGCGTTATATCTCACATTTAAGCGAGGAAGGAACACCACTACTTCCCTTCTTTGATTCTTTTCAGTATTTGCTTTCCAGCCATATATGGAAAAAATACATTGTCTTGCATTTGATCATTGGAGAAGCCTTCACAACTGTGACGTTGTAACAATTCAACAAAGTTATAAAACAATGTCTCTCATTACTCTAAAAAAATTTTACAATAAAAGCAGCATAGTACTGTCAATTTAGCTTAGTTCCGTCAAAACTGAGCACTGCAATAAGTTTTGGACACAACAAAATGATAACCAGTGTTGATGAATTTTGTTTGTATTTAGATATATGTGCTTTGATACAACTAGTTTTGTAACTGTATCCGAGTTTTCAATTCATTATTTAAAGGAAACATAATGGTTTTAGAACCTACATGACTTTTTGAAATGGTTGAGCTTTACAAAATGGAAAGAAAAACATTTAGAAATTTGTGGAAATAAATTATGGAAATGGACTAATAATTACAGATGTGTCACACCCTCAACTACACATCATTTCCTGCTTGCTCTCTACTGTCCAGGTGATTCTGGTTGACTCACATTTCATCTATCTTTTCAAGGACCAAAGCTCATGGAAAGATGATCAGAATATTGGCCAACAAACCTTCATGCTTGATTTCAGATAATATAGCTTGAGTGGAATGAATGAATTCTGACAGCTACTTTTCAGGGTTTATACATTTTTACTTTGAAATTGCTTCCAACCAAATGCTTCTCTGACATTTTTATTAATTATTCATAAATCAGGAGTGATATTTCAACATTAATACCAAAAAATTATTTTACATCTACAAACATTTTCAAAACAACTTTCATACTTAATGAAAAGCATAATCATAATATTTGAGTGGCTTTCATTAACTTACATTTTTCTTTATTCTTTCTGTCGCCACCTCATGTTGTTGGTACAGTTGTATAGTTGACGTATATTCAGCGTCTAATATACTACCCTGTTTATCCCGAACCACCATATCAAGATCAAGCAATCTGAAATCATAAAAGAAAACAGATGTTCCATTAAACATGGACATAAGAGCAAAAACACAGTTTATAATGAAATAAAATAAAAATTGTGAAACTTGCCAATAAACAACACCAGCGCAGAAGCATGAATTAAAGTTCAAGTAATATCGTGACAGTTCTTAAATTCCAAAAGCAAGAGAATAATGTTGACAAAATGATTGTGGAAGCAAAAGTTGCACAGCGATATTATGGAGTTTTATTTTGATTTTTTGTGTAGGACAGGATAGCTATCAAATTGGTTAGCTAAGTTTCTATTGAACAGTTACATTTCTTGTGCTCCTTTGATTCTTTGTGATGTGTGTTTTTGATAGGGTGTTTGTGTTACGATGGTGAAAATAAATATGGTTCTTTGCGAGTTGTGCTGAAAGGATTGTTAAACCATTATTAAGAGGATTAAAATCAATGGATTGATTGCAAAAGAGATTAGGTGTACGCTTCTACAAGGTTGCCTAAGTGGATGGAGTTGAGTGATAGCTTTAAGTGAAAGTGTTGTAAGAAAATGGGCATGCCTAAGTTATGAAAGAAAGGGAACATGGTTCACGAGAAGCAAAATAAATATGGAAGGTTGTTGCCTCTCCTTGGAGGTTCCTCCAACTTACACGAAACATGAAGAAATCACACTTTGGCAAGTTTTCTTCACATATTTCAGAGTGCTTGTGTCATAATGTTGGAAGAAAGGCATAAGGAGACACCTGTTCTACATCCTCCCATTCCCTGCTCCCCCTCTATTTTCTCTTCCCCTCCCCTTCCTCAGCATGCTTCTCTAGAATGTGTCATCATCTTTACGTTACCAAAATATTTTTATTTTTTGAGGTGGAGCCAGCATAACATCAAATTCTGCACATTTTCTGTACTTGTTGTACAGGTAGCCAAATCCTTTTGTGAACATTAGTTCAAGATTCATTAGGCTGCTCCATTTGCAGGACTCTCTATTGATAAAACTAAATTAAGATTTCAAAATGCATATGGACAAGCATGGTTTAAGAGACAGCAAGATTTTTGTTGTTGTATACATCTGATAAACTTTGACAGATGAAACTATCACTACCAGTTCAAAAAGGTTCTAATAATGAAAGCCCTAAATTATCATATGCTAATTTTTTATCTAAACAGAGATAGAGGGGGAAAATAGGCAGAGATGTATTGCTGACCACACACATACATTAGTAAGAAACTTTTAAAAAGAATTGGAACTGTCCAGGATGTGTCAGCTGATAAGGCCCAGCCTGCCACCCTGTCACGAACAGCACAATTTACAAGAATTAAGCAAACTCAGCAATGCCCACAACTTGAGAGAGGCAGTCATGAGACCCAAGTATTGCAGCACAACTGTCACGTTCTCTCTGAATTATTAGTTCACAAAATCTAACACTAAATCTAGGGGTCTCTGTCAGAACATTTCCTCGCATCACAATGGCAAGCCCTGTCCAAGAAATCTTCCTGCAGCAAAAACTTCCCTCCTAACAAATGGTCTGTATGTGAGTTGGCACTCTAAATGGCATGGGTACAGAGCACCTCTTATCCTGAGTTTCAAGATGTTGCATGATAACATATCAACACATTATTTCATCTGCAAATTGTACACACGCTTGCAGAGCAACCAGAGCAAATTTCAATGTAATTACTGTTCACGTGTTGATACAGATGCTTAAAAAAATAACATTATGAATATCTTAAACAACACAGGACATTCTAAATATGCTCTGAAACCTCACCACTAAGTAATCTATTTACAATTTTAGTAATAGAAAATTAACCATAAATTAACAAACTTACTTGTTTCCCATGTCTATTTTTGAAGTAGCTAGTTGCTTTATTTCCTTCAATTCATCAACAGGTAATGTACCAGAGAGAATCTTACTACGGAGTCGAAGTAAGTCATAAATTTTATGTTCTATTTCTTTGAAGTTCTCATCATGTGTCTACACACAAAATAAAGAGCACAGAATCACACATTTTGCAATAATTAGGAAAAATGTCAAGTAAAAATAAGGTGTTTTAAGCTAAAGTAAGATGTATCTATGATATTTTAAATTTTTGTCCAAAAGACAAAGGCAAAGATGAAAATGAAAAGGTCAACTATTTATCACCACAAAAATTTTTCAATGAAAGCTTACAATATATAAGTGTTTCCAAATATGGCCCCATTCACGTAATACTGTTGTTATTTCTTGTACAATTTGTGGTTGTTTCAATTGAACAACTTCAACTGGCCTGTAAACAAAAACACATTTAATGATTAATCCCATTAAAAAACTTTTAAGATGTGGATCAAGTCTGACAAGTTCTTTGAAGCGTGTTTAGAAAACAGACATATTTGCAATATCATATATTTGTAACATATATAAAATTATGAAATGTAAATTAAAAATCACCAATAAAACAATGTTCAATAACATACCTATAAATAATTTTTAAATGAAATTGTTGTGATACAAATAAGAATGTTTTAACTTACCCAGATTTATCAATGACACATTCTCGAACATGAATGAAGGTTTTGGGAAAAATGCCTCGTACATCTTTATTCTTGGTAGAATACCCAAAGAACCACTCTCCATGTTCTTTTAAGATATGCACAGACTCCCCTATGTTAAGTTTGATTCTGAAGGGTTTCTCTTCATGATAGTTATGAATTGCTACAACAAATATATTTTTTATTATTTTCCATGAACATAAAGTTTGTATAAATATTTTATACAAAATGAATTTCAAATATCAAATGTTAATTTTCCTTTAAACCATATGAAGTTAAGTTGACTGTTTTAATTCGTACAAAATTTTGTGTAAGTTCTAATAACATTTGCAAAAAATCATAACATGAAATCGCACACATCTCACAATTTGCCAATGTCAAAATAATACCTAAGTACAAATAATACACAGAGCTTAGTGCACAATAAACATATGAATTTATTATAAATCATAAATTAGCAGCTCTAAACAATGTTTCAAAAAAATACTGTACTACAGGGCTACAAAAATTCATTTTTCAAAGCATACAATGATATTTAAAAAGTTAAACAACCTCCATATTAACTAACCATAACTTTACAGAATATGATTTAAGACTCCTAATAAGACTATTTTCTTTTTATTAACATTAAATAATTATCAATTTAATGTCACAAAAAACTGTGTATCATACATTACACACAGAATATAATATTATACTACTGGTTGCATGAATTTGGTTTACTTCTTGACCAGTTCATTCAAATCATCAAAATGATTTTTAAACACAATTTCCCTTAGAAGATTCATTATTTCATGCAACAGGAATATTTGAAGTTTTAACTGACAAAGAAGCTCACAAACATTTATGGTCAAATTGATGACAAGAAATATTTTAAGAGAGTAAAAAACAACACAATAAATAAATCATACATTGTGAATCTCTAAAACAGCCATTATATCTACATGTGAAATGCAAATAAACAACATAACATCTCTTAGTTAAGTTCATGAAATGAACACTAAAGTGGGCGTGTAAAAAACACTCAAGAACTTGCATTTAAGTAGTAAGAGCTTAAGTTTTGTCTGTATGGTGTAACAAATTTAAGATATTTAATGGGGTTTTCTGCTTAAGACTTATCAGTATCATTAATTTAAAATGACAAAAGTAATTTTGAACTTTGATGGGAGCATGACATTTCAGTGTATTCAAAGATGTTAAGATAATAATTCAGCAATGTAGGCTAGGAAATAAACAATTTATTACAACTTAAGTATTTAAGTTGTCAAAAATATTATTTGGCGAAATTCTCGAAAAAACAATTCGATAGTTTTTACTTGGCGGGTTCAGAAGTCAAAAGATTATGACATTGCACACAATCAACAGGGCAGAGTCGACATTACCGATGCCATATCTGTCTTTTTCTTTAACCGGTATCCACTGCTGCATTTCTGCTTCGAAGACAATAACACCAAAACTATAATCACGTCACATTATTTCCACAAGCAGTCTAATAACCTCACGCTTCTTTGCACTACTCTACTGTGCCGACCATGTTGTTTCCTGTCTTCCCTAACTTCATATCCCTCCCTCCCTCCAGCTTCCCACTGTTCATTGTCGACCAATCCCCGACCCTTTGCACCCCATGGGAGGGCTACGACGGATGCAGCACAATATCAATTTCCACGTCAATTCTCCGGAAAACACTGATGTAAAGAGGAGAGGGGAGTTGGTGTAGGGAGCAAACTAGAGAAAATGAATCAGAAACCCCAGACTCCCATGCTGGCGCACAAGCACTCGACCTCGCGTCACTCACAAAAAAGTCGAATAGTTTTCACATTCTCGTATAGATGGAGCAACACATTCCGCGATGACGCGCGGTCTTAAAACCCGAGTGAATGATATTCGTTCCAAACTAATCGCTATAACCTGGAATGAAATGAATAAATACACTGAAATTTTGTTTCCAAGTGTGTAATTATATAATATAATATAAGTATATAATAGTGCTCAGCTTTATTATGATTTAATTTATTTCTCAAAAAATGGTAAAAACTATGTGACCTATGGGGGAGAAGCACCTGCGACAATTTTGAACTTCAGAATCCCTAATCAACCCTTTTAGTTCACATAGTTGAATGGGAAGTAAAAGTATCTAAAAAGTATGGATAGAAACATTGGAAAACGTAGACATTTTCTCTCCGTGGTAATTAACCAAAAATATTTATTTGTATTAGTAAATGAACTACAGAATTATTGTATTGCTATCAACATTGCAATGTTATCCGCTCCGTTCGCGGAGATACCTGGTGAGACAAACGCCCCAAGTCGACGTGTAGGTCGGCGTCGAATTTCACGTTCCAGTGGAGGAGGAAATCCGCCACTTCCCGCGACATGACATGCACGACATTTAGGGAACAAATGACATTAATAGTTAGCAAAATAATCAGTCATTTTTTAAAATTTTAAAAATAATTGTTCGGTTTTAAATACATACAACCACTTAAACATTTGAAATAAGAATGTATTAATTACCTTGAATTGAAATTAAAATAAGTAGACAAGTGCTAAAATAGAACTTACGTTTTCGTATTATTTATAACGGTAAAGTAATATTTATATTGCAACTTGAATTCTACTAATGATCTACCATACCTTGAAAAGCTCTTCAGCAAAACAATCGTGGGGGGATTTGCCATTTTCAAAAATTTACAATTTCGGAATTTCAAAGATGTCAATGAAATTTGCACATATACTGTATTGACATTGGAGAGAAAATTGAAGAAAAAAATATTACCCTTCTTATGTAAGAAACCCTAGAATATGCTTTAAAAGGCCATGACGCTGACCATTAGCAAACAAGACACTTCAATCAATTACTCCCATGTTATCGAGAAAGTAAAAGAAATATTCACACTCAAAAACCATTGAGATATCGAGACACTCCATGGGAGAACATTTGTACCATTTTGCTCACAAAAATGAATTAAATTACAAAGTACGACTCTAATATTAAAATTAACGTATAAAATGTTGAAAAGTTTACAAATGTCTAATTTTTGAAAATTCTAGAGTTTCAATGGAAATCGAACTTGTGTCATAATTAAGAGCATCGTGCTCTGTTCGTACAGAAAGTTCCAAAGGAAAAGACTATCATTTTTGAGAAAATCTTTTTCAGTGCTTTTGAAGTATTAAAAGAATTTTAGTAAAAATGTCGAGTGTTTTGAAAAAAAAATATAATTGGAATTATTTAAAGGGTAAATTTGTAGAATGTTTACATTAAGAAAAAAAAATCAAGTTGAAAATCAAACCTTTACTGCATTTATAAGGTGCATATTCTGTCGTGTCGTAGGTTGCAGAAATCACAAACTAAATTTTTAGGCTTTGGTTACTGATTCAGTTTATTTACAATACGCCGGCTTATGAAGAGCAGGGCATCAATCCGGTCAGAGGCATTGCAGTGACAATTGCAATGCCTCTGACTTGGGGGTCCTAGGGTTCTAGTCCTCACGATGGTCTGATTTTCCACATTAGCTATATACCTATAGGTAGAATTCAGTTGCTGTCTGGAGGAGAATTCTAGGCTGTTCTGATCAGTTGTTTTATGTTATGTACATGTCGGGAGCAATTTAGGAAAATAGAGGTTGTCAGGATCATAGAGGTCGGCACCGGATCTTGCCACCCAGCTGGGAAAGATCACTGCTACCTCCCTCGGGACTAATAATTTTAGCACTCATTTAGCATGGACTCACTAAACAATCGATTACCGGCAAAGATAGTTCAGGGCATCAATAATTAATGTCATAGGCCGGGAGCCAGTAAGAAAAAACACGTTGCTGAGTACTAAATAAGACAACTTCAATTTAGACCAATAATTTTATTTCAAAAATACAAGCCGGGTCTCGTTCTCCAGAAGATGTGTACAATCCAGTTACCGTAAGTGCCGAGATTCCAATAGCCATATTCCAAATATAAAGCGTAGCGCTATAACGTAGATAGGTAGGCAGGCAGACCTGGTAGACTCGTAACCAACTCCCAAACTCGACTGGTCAATGAGGCGCGGCTCTTATGTATCGCCGCGGGAGTGTGCCCGCTGCTGCTCCTCCATGGAGCCGGAGAAGAAACTTGGCCTAGGGGCCGGAGGAGTAGCTTGGTCTAGGGGCCGGAGGAGTAGCTTGGTCTAGGGGCCAGAGGAGAAGCTTGGCCTAGGTGCCGGAGAAGTAGCTTGGCCTAGGGGCCGGAGGAGTAGCTTGGCCTATGGGCCGGAGGAGTAGCTTAGCCCAGGGACCGGAGGAGTGGCTTGGCTTAGGGTCCGGAGGGGTAGCTTAGCCTAGGGGCCGGAAGAGGAGTTTATAACACATATTATGGTAAAATCATTGTAAGGTCATAAACACATATTATGGTAAATTCTGTATTAAAAGCTTACATAAATTTGTAAAATGGCGTTAAATAACATTAAATATACTTACTTTTCCAAAACACAACAGGGTAAAAAATCAAGAGCACATTTTACTTATCTTGAGGAATAAAAAGAAAAGAGAAAAAAGAAAATAGAAAAAAGAAGAAAGAAAAAAAGAAGAAAGAAAAAAGAAAAAAAAACAAGCGAAAACAATTCATGAATGACTACTGTGATATAAGTGCTAGGTAATGCACATTGATCTCCAAAACGAGATTCAGTCAAATACAATATATATATATATATATATATATATATATATATATATATATATATATATATATATTTGAGAGTAGTAAGTATAATAATTAACTATGAATGTTCTGTTAGATAGGAAATTAATTCTGAATAATACTCGTATAAGGTAAGTAGGAATACCTACAAGATTCCTTATGATTTTGCGCCGCAGGCGAAATTAAAAATTTAATGAACGTCAATTTTCTCAGAAAACCTACCTATCAACTAAAAATGCACAATCTGATCTATCTAAGGACTCATGGATCATCGGAATTACGCGACCCACAGCTTAAAATCTCAGCTTCTGTAGGTAATAGTGTCATGCTACGCCACCGAAGTTGGCCGGGTGTCCAGAGCTATCAGGTCTTGTCTGGCTGCTACCTCTAATACATGCTTTCCGTTCGGCAACGGTATACCACTCTTCAGAGCTTTGGCGTTTAAATTTCAGCGGCAACCAGTGTGTTTCCGCCCGTTTCTACAAAGATCTTATCAGGTTCAGTAATACGAGTACATATAGTCACGGTATATTAAGTCTGTTAAAAGGGGATGGGGGGGGGGGCTTAAAAATCAAAATTTTGTGAACTTTTGGTAAATTGGTCTGTTTCAAAGGACGAATTGTATGCGTTGTAGACTTGCGAGGATGCTTTTTTCGTGCTTTTTATTACTTTAATGATGTATGCTGATCTCACGATATTCATTACACAATACTGTTATGATGTCCATAAAAACAATATGGACTCAGATAACGATTTTTACCAACTCTACATCAATTATATCAGCTTATAACTTCCTACAAGTACATGACAATTAGATTAACTGTTTACAGATGTTTTTTATTAATGTAATAAGCTTTAAAAAACGGGAACCTTTTTGTGTGCTTTTGTTAAAGCTGATTAAGACCTAAAAATTAATCCCACTTCCAAATCCATTTTGTGAGCACACCCCATTTGAAAATTTGTGCATGAAACACTTCTAATTATTATATCAGAACTAGAACTACAATTCACACTTCTTATAACACACACGGTGTAGACACATGACAAAATTGTTACATCTATTGCGCTGTAGAAAACATACTGAGAATTAATTATTTTGTAAAATATAATAAATGGCTAGAAAATCAGTTAAAGGATTGCTCGAATTGTTTGAGAAATATTTATTTACACATTACATACATTTATCATGTAAAAAATTGTAAAAACTAATGCTTAATCTACTAACTACTACTTAATTCTTAATTTTGAATTAATAATGAGTAAACTTAAAATAACTTTACATCTAGAAACGTCACCAACTAATTATCATTTCGACTGAAAACTAGTTTTAACAGCAAAACATTTAAATATCATAGTTATATTTAGTATATTAAGTGCGTCAAAAGATTGTTTTTTACAAGATTTCAATTGATCTATCTTTTTGGGGAAAAAATCCTCAATCTCGGTCATGCAAAAAACCATCATTTCTCCCACCAAATATAAAATTTTTTTCTACGATCGTATAAAAATGCTTATATTACGAGTTATGTTTCCTTTCACCTCTGATCTTTGTGATATAAAAGAAAGAGAAGCCCCATCTTCGTTAACGATTATGTAACAGGACACCAAGGTGTGGCGACATTAGGTAGCGAATTCCTAGCCACATTTTCTTCTTGGAAAATAAAACTTCACTCATCACACGTATCAACTATTTACAGAGTAAATAACTATTTTACTCTGTGACGCGACCTCACTCTGAAAAAAGCCATTGATTCAGGCTGACGAGAAGTGTTTCAGATATTTAAAAAAAAATATTAATATTCATGTACGAGTAGCTGTACGTAGAAATCTACATTTTTATATTATCATAGAAAAAATGTGTTTCAAGTCAATGTAATTAAAAATAATTCTAAAAAATAGTTGCAGTATTTCGAAATATACTACTGATAATTTAAGCATATTTAAAATTTATAACTAAGAGAAAAGAAGAGGGAACGTTTTTTAATTATTGGAATTTCACGATCGGTCAGTAACATATTTTAGATATTTTTAACATACGACTCGAAACGGAAAAGTGGTTTATTTGTGTTATTCAGTCTTTTAACCAGATATCGATTTTATCGTTGTTTGGAAGTTCATTTTTTGCGAATATGCTTCGTGCATTATTGAACTTCTTACAAGAGATTCAATTGATCATCGTCCCTATATTTTTACACGAGTCTCATTAATTGCATAATCTATATTTTTCGCGAAGTTATTGATAATAAGGTGTTAGATATATATGACGAAAACATACTTGTAACGTTTCTATTTGCATTAGGAACTCAAAAGCGACAAAGAAATCCCACATTTCAATAGATATAACATACATACTACCTCTTTCCAATAACATACGAGTATCTCTAACATCACGAAGAAATGAGTACTTTAGGGTACTGAGTCTTCGAGGAGTTTTACTCCTCCAATATGTTATGTGTAATTCCAGCGTCGTACTGCATTGGAACGAAAGTTCGTCGATTGGTTAGTGTTCTGCGGCAAATGGGTTGCAGCACAGCTCAAAACACTGGTAAAGACTTTGTGTAGTTTGGGTCTCTTAAGGTACATCGGTACATTAGACCTTGCTGAAAAGAGGATAAAAATTGTCAGTCGTAAGCAGATAATCATCTGCAAACTAACTGAACCAATTTTCGATCCGATTCAATTTAAGAGATTGACAACGAGAGCATACTTTTCTGCATAGCGTTTTAAGTTAACTATTTCATATGTGGATGGTATTATTCAGTATAGTAACATTGCAATTGCACGAATTATATAATAATAAATCTAATAATTATTTTAAATCACTGTTCTGTACACACATATCTCATCGAAAAATTATTAAAACATTGAGAGAGATGGTTTTCAATTTTTACAAAACTGTCTTGCCAACTCTAACAGCACGCAACAAAACCACTCGTGGGCTTGGAGATGCTATATTTCAGTCTCAGGATCAATCGAGTCGGCCATCTTGTGCGAATGCTACACCGGCTTGGTGCCCACGCGCTGGTGGCCATGGCGGCCCGCCAGCTCGGCCTGGATGGTGGTCGGGTCCTTGCCTTTCGTCTCGGGCACCAGGAGCAGCACGAAGAGGGCGCCCACGACGCAGATGGCCGAGAAGGCGAAGAAGGTGCCGGGGCTGCCCAGCAGGCGCAGCAGCGGGCCGAACGTCTTCGTCACGCCGAAGGCCAGCATCCAGTTGAGCGTGACCGCCAGGGCCGAAGCGCTCGCCTTCACCTGCATCACCACAGCGGCGTTAACGGCACACGACTTTCTGAGCCACGGAGGAAGTGGCAGAAAGACGCCACGGGTAAACAAAGAGAGCGGAGTTTGTGCTAATACATTTAATTTTTTAAATGGATAAATAATTAAGACACAAATAATTAAGAGAACTTTCGTATGTTTATACGTAAGAACAGAACTTTCTGAGCCACGGAGGAAGTGGCAAAAAGACGCCACGGGTAAACAAAGAGAGCGGAGTTTGTGCTAATAAATTTAATAATTTAAAGGGATAAATAATTAAGACACAAATAATTAAGAAAACTTTCGTATGTTTATACGTATACATACATATATGAGTTAAATGAAGAGTACCTATTACCTAATGCTAGTAAATAATGCACGTAATTCATGCTTTTATATAATGCAAGTAAAATAAAACCGTGGGAATGGTTTAAAAATTGGATATTTGTGCTGTGCAAGTTCTTAATAAAAATACATTTTAAATTTGAATGTTGTAAAAATAACCTTGGATTGACTTGTTGAATATTATTTAATTTTGAAAGTATCCTCAAATATTTAAAGACAATCGAAATGCGGTTGCTGTATCATTTATTCATTCGACATTATAAAATTATCTTGCAACGTCTCACGTGCCTTGTGGCCTGGCAGTCCTTTACTACGAATAGAAAAGGAATGTGACTTTGTGCGTGAACTTTAATTTGTGAACTTTGTACATGAACAATGAATCACTCACAATTTTTAAAAAAAACATAACCGTTTGCGCATTACATGCTTTCGAGATGTATGCATCTGCAATTTCAAGCTGCTTTAAGTTTATGAGTCACCGAGGAGAAGGGTAAAGGGTAATACGAAGAAAATTAGGAAGACAGGAGCTCGAATATGAAAGAGAAGGGAAAGGACAATCAGAAAAAAGAAAAAAAAAACGTGGAAAGGAAAGAAGAAAGACAAAGCAGAAGAAATAGCTGTACACATAACCCAACAGAATAGCTAATTGATTGATTGGTAAGAGATTCTGGGCAGGTCAACGGCTAAGGTCATTAGTCCCATAAGTGTAGTGCATGTTTTAGGCCGGAGGTGGCGGTGACCTTCCCCGGCTGGATGGTGAATTGCGGTGCCCATCTACCGTCGGTTTAGGGTTCTTTTTTCCCTATCAGAAGTCTCCAACAAGCGGGGCACAGCGCCAGCCGAGGGAAGCTCTACCACGCAAGTTCTAAGTTCTATGCGCCGTAGTGTAGTGCGTGTAAGCATAAGAGTACGTTGTGGGGTGAGGATAGGACAATGTTGAGGAAGGAAAGAAAGCGCGCCCGTTTCTTAGGGTACTGCTCCACAATTTGCTTGGTGTTGATCGGAGGAACCCCAGAAAACTGGCGATCAGAGCAACTGGCTGCTAGAATTCTCCTTCAGACAACTGCTGAATTCGACCTAGCAATGTAGCTAGAGTGGAAAATCCTGCCCCCGTCGGGACTCGAGCCTAGGTCCTCCCGATCAGAGGCACTGCAGTTCAATTGATGTCCTGAGCACCTCTCCTGGTACCTAATAGTGTAGCTGGTATACAATTACACGCATGTATCGAATAAGCTGATTTATGCTTTTTCTCCCTACTCTATACAGTGAGGAAAGGTATTGGAATCATCTCGATAATTCGATCTTCAATTTTTGGTCGTTAAGTCCACGTTAAAATTATTTTGGGTGGTAAAGTTTGCACACAAGTCATTATTAAAGTGCATTATTATTATTCCAAATATTGTTAAGATTGATGTAGATGTCGAGGAGATTCTTGCAACTTTGTACTTCGGGAGGTCTGTCTGTCCCCCCCGTGCTAGGTAGATATCGCCACGTGCGAAGTACATTTTTATTTAACACTGGAAGCTTCATCTCGATAGACACGCAGGAACCGTGCTCTTTGGCGAGCCAGAATGAGTTGATGGCCGCAAGCTATGCAAAGGGACGCCGCTGCGACCGCGAAACAAAGCCGCGCTGCAAACAAGTGCCTGCCACATGTGTCCACACGCATTTCCGCGACGCACAGTCCGAACGCGCCAACAGCCGCGAAACTCAAAGCACACACAGTGAACCCGCGAAACTCAAAGGATGACATTGATTGCTGGATAGCACTCACTCGCGAACCTATGCGCTTACTCACGACCTATCAGAAGGAACCACGTTCAAGCACGACGTGACCTCGGGTCCCTGAGAATACATCGCGACCTCAAACTTCTCTGAATCTAACAATGAAAGCGAACGGTTCTCTGCTCTACTTGCTCCGCAACACCTCCGTCTCGGGCCAAACGTGATCTTGGGCTGCGAACCAACCTCGTGCCACCACTTTTGGCGCTCAGCCCTGTCAATGACGAGCAAGCGGCGAGCAGCTTCGATTAGAAAGAGCAAACAATAGCACGATAAACACGTGCAGATTGGGGTCCGCACTGGGCTCAGTTTATTGAGGTATTGAGTGTCCGTGGGTCGAATTGGCCCAGAAACCTATTCCGTTGCAAAACTCACCCGCACCGATCTGCAAGAGAGCGCGAGAACAATATACGTGATACGCGACGGCGCCGGAAGTGCATGTGTGTGAACGCACTGAGCTGCGGACCGCTTGAGGTGCACTTAAGCGGTCCGATGCTACCATCGCCACTCCAGGGTATAATGCGATTTTTATAAGAATGGACCGTTTTGACAGCTAGTGCTAGCAACATAACTGAAGGTTCTGTGGCCGTCGTGTCCTTGAGCCCATTGGACTCTCCTTCCTCCATTCGTCCGTTTGCAGTTGGCTAACTTGTAAATGGATTCGTCGCTTCCTTTCGTGATGTCCTCGTCCGACGGAAATATAGTGCGCCATGAGAAATAATTGAAATTAGGAATTGCAGTGCTATGTGCTATTCTGTAATTTGTTTACAAATATTACATTCAATTTATTTTTTGGGTGATAAGTATTATGTTTATTTCAAAACCGAGTCTTGAATGTAAGATGCCAAGGAGGAGACAAAAAGACGCCATGGGCAAACAAAGAGAGCGGAGTTTGTGCAAATAAATTTAATTATTTAAATGGATAAATGTGGTGCACGTGTTTCCGGTTCCTGTGCTGTGATGTGACAAGCTGTGATCGAGAGCGTTTCCTGGTTCCGTGCTTTGCAGTACATATATTTTTCCTATATAATTACACTGTTGTGGACCATGAGAAGCCACGATCTCTTAACGGGAGCCATAGACAAACATGAACACTTTACGAAGAGGCGTGGCTAAACAGCTGTCGCTGCGGAGGGATTCTTCTCTGAATTACATGTGATGTTCGCTGGTTTAGCGAACTGTGACTTTAGCTCATTCTTAGGTGGATTCTTCTGTTACCAAGGGGACAGGTAGTGATGCTCTGGGCCATGGGCAAGCGAGTGCTGGGTGCCGTGATCCTCTCACGCGCCGACAATGAGCAACGAAGGGCTGCCGTCTGCCGCACCGCAGCAGTACCAATTTGCTGTAAGGTAGTTTCTAAGCAATATATGTGATCGTCTGCAATCACCCATCAATAGTTCGTTAATTGATCACTCCATCTCTCATCGGTAGATTTATTAAGTCCGTTTAAATTCTAATAACTTTCAAATCGTTCTGCACGATTCGCTCTTCTCACTCTTCTCTCCATATTTCAGAACATCCGGGCAAACTGGAGTAACCACGTAGAAAAATCAGTTGCACAGATCGCTCCCGCAACCGGCTACTCATCTGTGACCGATGGTCTAACAAAGAACGTCTATCGACGTTTGTGTTGCGCGTAACTAGGTTAGAAGCTTTTGAGCTGAAACTTCTCAGTGCTTGTATTGTGAGTGCTTGCCCAACTTAAGATGTTTGAACAGCGTTACGCTTTGAACAAATATATGAATAGTTATTGAGTAATAATTGGTGACACTACGAAGAGGAAAAGTTTCGTTATGCCTCGCCATTTTTTTACTGGAATCTGGTCATTTACTGTACCATATTTCAACAAATTATATTTCTCAATCCATTCATTAAGAACAAATAGTCGACGCCCTGCAGGCAAAGGTTGGATCGTGTGAATAGCAAAGCAGCGAAAGCGTTACCTCGGGCGCGAGCAGCTCGCCCATCATGAGCCACGGCACGGGGCCGAAGCCCAGCGAGAAGACGACGAGGAAGAGGGCGACGGTGAGCAGCGGCAGCCAGCCGGGCAGCGCGTGCGGCCACTGGTAGCAGCAGCCCAGCGTGCCCAGGCACAGCGCCATGACGGCGGCGGACAGCAGCAGCAGCGGGCGGCGGCCCGCGCGGTCCGACAGCGCCGCGCCCGACGCCGTCGCCAGCACCTGCACCGCGCACGCCATCGGCCATCAGCCCTCCGCCCACGCCGCTCCTTCTCGCTTTCGCGTGTGCGTACGCTCTAATATATACGTATGTATAGAGAAAGTTATGTAATGCCGCGCGAAAAAATCTTTTCTTTCTCTCTCAACGTTTGGTAGCGAAAGTTTTTTGAAAACTCAACGGTTTTCTCAGAAAAATAGCTCAAAATTCCGCATTCTCATTAACAAACGCGCCATTTTCTTACAAATGGCTCCAAATTATTTTTTTTCAACTTTTTTTGTACCGACAGTGCTGCACACGAAAAAAAGAACAATTGCAGTATATCAGATACTTGATACTGTAACAAGGGAACTTGTTACAGTTTCATGGACGTGGTATACTGCAACTGTCCTTTTTTTCGTGCACCGTTTAAGGTAACAAAGTTGATTTTTGGATTTTCTTTATCAAAAAATACAGTATTGTAATATTTTTGAAATACCTCTCACACTATTATGTGTTCATCCCCAGCAATTTATGAACACTATTTAATTGGTGAGTGGAAGTGCCTGTGAGTGGAAACTTCTAATGAAGTTTTTCGAAAACTCATACAATTTCTGTGAAAAACAGCTTCAAATTTCTCATTTACAATTACTACGAAACGCCATTTTTTAAAATACGTCTTCGAATTTTTCAAAGAAAATTGCAAGTTAGTTGATACAGTTCTTTACTATTCTTAAAGTAACATTTCCGTTCCGCTGTCAGGGAAGTGAATAGCGGCCGCACCTGCACCACGCCGGCGACGATGGCCGCGACGGCGGGCGAGAGCGCGCTGCCGGCGTTGGCGAAGATGGCGGACAGGTAGAAGATGACGGCGTTGATGCCGCTGAGCTGCTGCACGGCCATGAGCCCCAGCACGACGAGCAGCGCGCGGGCGCCGGCGCGGTCGGGGGCGAGCGCGCGCCGCAGGCCGCCGCGCCGCAGGGCGTCTACGCTGGCGGCGCTGGCGCGCGACGGCGCCGTGTTGAGCGTGGCGCGCAGGCGCAGCAGCTCGAATTCCGGGTCGGCGCCGCCGCGGAACCAACGCAGCGCGCGCGCCGCCTCGGCGTCCCGCCCGCGCCCCAGCAGCCATACGGGCGACTCGGGCAGCCACGGCAGCGCCGCGACCAGCACCGCTGCGCACACCACCGCAACAACAACACACGTTCATTGATTGATTGAAGATAAATTGGCCGGGCTGGCTAGCCTTCGTTCAGTTGGTCTATTGAAGAGCCAAACGTTTCGTCCACGTCTTCGGTGGACACTGGCCCGCCGCCCCGCACACTGCACCCGCGACCCTGCCGCCACTGAGGATGTCCACCGCAGACGTGGGCGAAACGTTTGGCCTTTCAATGCCAAACCACGGCCTACCAACCCAAATTGATATTCTATTGACTCCGGCCGTGAAAGCCTTCGATGCGATTAATTGATTGTTTTAGTGATTCTGGGCACGTCAACGAATAGGGTCACTAATCCCGTAAGTGTAGTGCATGTTTTTGCTCGGGAGGTGGCGGTTATATTTCCCTCGCTGTATGGCGATATCCTACGCCGATCTACCGTCGGTTAGCGGGGTTTTCCTCAACCAGGTATCTCCCTCTGTGGGGCACCGGCTCCAGCCGGGACAAGCTCTAAGTTCCCGACCGGTCTCCGGCATGTATGTATGTGTGGTGCGTGTTAGTCTAAGTATATGTGTAATGGGAGAAGATTGGACAAGGAAGAGGAAGGAAAGATCGTGGGTGGTCCGTGGCCCGTTTGTTACGGTACTGTTCCGGCATTCGCCTGGTGCTGATCGGAGAAACCACAGAAAAGCACCGATAAGAGCAGCCGACCGCTAGAATTCTCCTCTAGACAGCGACTGAATTCGACCGCTGACAAGCGAGTGTCGAACATTCTGCCCCAGTCCAATCTAGGACCTCCCGGCCAGAGAGACTGCAATTTCATCAGTTGATGCCTGAGCCATCTCTCCCGGTAACAACAGATATTACAGAGGCACACCGTGATCGACTGATTATTTTGCGTTTCCGAGTGCGTCAACAGCTGTGGCCATTAGTCCCGTTATGAATGTTATGAATGGTCTATCCCTGAGGTGGCTGTGTTCCTCCCCTCGCTGGAAGGTGAGATCTGACACCAACCTACTCGTCGGCCAGGGGGTTGCTCCTCCAGGTATCTCCGCCAGCGGGTCACCGTCACAGTTGGAGCAGGCTCTAAAGTACCTAACTGGCCTCCCAGCATGTTACATATTTTAATTGTACCAGGGTTCTGAATAATTTACCGTATTATTAGCCAAGAAAGAGGAAAAAAGAAAGCCTTTGGTACTCTCAGAATAATTTATACAATACTAGCTATTGGTTTATTAGATTTAGCTGTATGAGCTCATCACATATTTACCATTGATATAGATGTAGATACTTTACTTCAGCGACTGTGTATAGCATGTAAGTGTATGTGTGACTAAGGGGAGAAGAGGGGACAAGAATAAAGGAGGAAGGAAGGAAGGAAGGATTGCGCGCGGTCTGCGGCTCATTTGTTGTGGTTTTGCCCCGATAAGCGATTGGTATAGTGAGGAGAAATCGTGGAAAACTACCGATCAGAGCAGTTGAACGTTAGAATTTTCCTCCAAGCAGTGGTTGAACTCGATCCACCATGTGGCTATTCGAAAATCTGCCACTGTCGGGATGCGAACCCCACGACCTCCCGTTAATTGACGTTGCAGAGACAATATTAATATAATGAATTTATCTAAATATTATCTTTGAGTTGTTTTTATATTTAATAAAGACTAGATACCTATAGTATTTAAAAAAAAACGTTATAAGACAGCAATGTGGCTATAAACTCTTTAGTGCGATAGCAGTAACTTAATTATCCACTATAACACTTCTGATAGAACTTTCCCAGTGAGCTAACTGTTCTCGGACCGCTACCGATATAACTGACGAGTTAAGTTTACTTAAGCTGAGGTCAAGAAGGGCATGCATACCCGAAAGTTATCTGTGAAAGGAGAAAATTGTTGATAACCGACCGTTTCAACATCCCTACCGCAATGTTTCTGGGCACGAGATGCAATACAATATATCAAGGGTCGTTTGGCATCATTGAATCTAAGACAAACAGTTCATAGAGAGGTTCATTATTTTATGGAGCAAGAGACAGTCTCTTTTTTGGATTCAGAAGAAATACTCGTCATTATTTATACAGAACTTACTTTGATTCCTCTGTTCCTGGTAATATTTTGAATTGCATATTTAATGTAATGAAAATATTATATTTATACATTGGTTTAGTAGTCTTATCTTTTGTTAAGTCACATATGAAGACATAACAAAAGTGCATTTCTGCAAATCCATACATGAATATCGTCAATCTTTAAAATACATCAACTTAAAAGTATATGTAAGTCATAAAGTTAAACAATTAACAACACTATAATACGGATTGTTGATATTAGGATGCAATGTTTCCATTAATTAATTCATTACATTCTTGAATCATTTTCAAGCAACGTTAAGAAATATTAAATTTATGTGGGCATCCATATGTGGGTAATTAAAGAATACCATATCGATAGGGTGAACAAATTACGGAACAACACTCTCTTAGTTAATGACATTCCCATACATGTACAAACAATAACCATGAACATCTCTAGCATCCAGGCACACCATAAATAAAATTATTTATAATATACCAAAAATGTGGTCAAAAAGAGGTCTCATAAATAATTTCCCCAATTTATTATTTTGTTTGTCAATGTCTGGTGTCGTTGTGATATCTCTTTCTGCAAACTTGGTTTAAGATTGTATTCAGTGTAAATTACATACTCGTATATCAATTATTTTTTCGTTCTTCTCACAACTTTACTGCATCCGACGTCTGTCGGAGACGTTTCAGATCAAGAAGTATTCCCCATGGGAGCACGGAGGACCAACCCAGCGCACTACCGCACGGATTGGGAAAAGGGAGAGGAAAGATGAATCGCGCGTGGTTTAAGGTACTGCTCCAGCATCCATCTTGAGTCGATAGGAGGAAATCACGGAAGAGATCGTTTACAGCACCTTGTGTCTAGAAACATCAGACAGGCAGTGGTCTGTTCTGCCTAATTACTATCCGCACAACAGTCCTTGACGGATGGGCTACCTTCCTCTCCCTGGTACAAAAACAGTAGAAGGTAAAAGCCCGCAACGAATACGGATGAAAACTTTCTAAACACATCTTCATTGGCGTGAAACAGAAGTGATTTGCTGTTGGAAACAAGAATTCCTATTCTTCTGTCTCGAATAAAATGTAAAGAAATGGCTGGGAATCGTCCAGATCCTTCACAGGAGACACCTCGAATTCTTGAGATGTTAGGAAAACAGAGCTGCGAATGCGAAAGTATTGAGAAAGTTGCGAAGGCACGCGAGTTGGAAAAAGAGATCAAGGTTGTGTATGTTCTAACTGCTTTGGATTGGGTTTCTGCTTTTATTGGAGAAAGTATTTTTACGATAGGAGAATAATGACTAAAAGAGACAATAATCTTTGAAATTCCCCAGAACCGGTATCCGTAATCGTATTTTTTACACGTTTCCACCAGCCTTTCTCAATTCTTTGAATGAAAATTGATTTTTAGTATTTCAAGTGGTTGAAAAAGTTTGTCTTATGCCTCTTTGTGAATGGTATTGTAATGTTACTCAATTCAGACACTGATTTTGGAATGGTTCAAACGAGAATATATGCGGCGTTCTGCTCTAAAGGATGGCCTGAGAATATTGAATGCCGCAGATGCCTATTTAGATCACGAGAGTCGGTACTATCAACTACCGATTAAAAAAATGAAGAGAAAAAGGAATACAGGAATAAATGAACGCAAAAGAAAGTACGGATTATGAAAATGTGAACATAATGAAATACTAAATGAAGTACCGAAAATATTATAAATATAAGTTCTACAATCCTAGATCATTGTAGAGAAATATTCTGCACAAAGATGAAACGGACTATCTCGAGGAAAACAATTCGAAAATTATACTTTTCTTTCCTCCTAGAATTTCGCATTAAAAATTCCAGTATTGAAATATATTGATTTGGAATGTACGCTGAAAAACGTATTAGCATGTCATTATTGGGCAACAGTTTCTTATATTCAAGTAATTTTAGAAAGATATTTCAAGTCTAAAGTTGTTAATATAATCCATTTTAGTAGTTTAATCGCTGAGCATTTAGAAGAATTTATTACTCAGAAGGATCTCAATGATAATTAATAATTGAAAAAAGAGCAAATTAAATAGTAATTTATACAGATTTATTGTCAATTTATATTGTGAATTAATAATGCGAGTTTTGTATTCTTGAAATACTGTCTCACAAATAACGTATAGCACACTCATGATTTATATTATCTCATTTTAAAAAATATTCCATGGCAAATTGTTTTTATTCCTTGTCGGAAGTGTATTTCGATTCTCATCACTTTTGCTTGTCGCTTCTCTGCATCTTGCACAATAATTTTATGTAATCTCATATAGTGAGATCTCACCCAAACAAATGCTTCATCAATGTCAGATGTATTAGCGCGTAAAGCGATTATGTGTGACTCAAAAACCATTTGGAACAGCCATATCCGTGAACTTTAGATCATGAAGAGACTAGAAGGAAGTGGATGTCAACCAGTGAATAAGATAACAGTATAGTGATTGCGAGTGGGTGGCAAAATATTTGGACTATTGCGATATGATGTTGAGAGTAGAAAGATTAATATACAGCGACGTATCAACAAACTTAACTACGAAATATTTTTAAATTGCCAATTCAGTTTCTGAAATTGCGTCTCAATCGGTGTTGCAAATGTGCCGCAAAAGCACTCTCCTATATTCGAAATCAAGGATTTTCCATAAGGAAATTCTGATAAGTCTCTCGTAAAGGGGACCCAAAGTATTTTTTAAAAAATTCATAGGTGTTGATAATCAATAAACAGTTCTATCAGAAATATTGAAAACAAACACTGTATTCGTGTAACTACTGAATAAAGTATTTAGTAAATAATATATAAAATACTGATTTAAAGTAACTGGAAGTTAATTCACAAGAACTTCATCCACTTTTATCGTTCATAAAATTGAATAACTAAATTACGGGAATCTCCATTCTGGTATGTGGA